GCTGAGTATGCTGTAAAAAAATACAAGTCTCATAGAAAAATACCAGACTCAATCTTGACAGAAATAGATATTTAATTTAATATAACTTTTAAAAAAAATAAAAAATAAATTTTTATCATGTGCAAACTTCATGATAATTTGCCCCTCTATATAAAAATGGATGTATTATTGTGACACGCACTGTACAATTGTAAGAATTACTTTTCAAAGTTAAAACAAAAACACATTTCCTACAAACAGCCCTTTTTATATTAAAAATACTTGAATTTTATTGAGTAATTTTGTTGCATTGCATAAGAAAATTAAAACATGTCACATGATTGTTGAGTTAAGAGTTGGCACATCATATTTATTCTTTTTTTTTTTACTGTTAATTTTCTTGAGCACATGCTTCAAACATACTCTGCCAACTATTTATGATATAATCTTTAAAGTATAATTGAAGGCATGTTTGAGACTAAAGTTTCTGGTCGAAATTACCTCTCTTAGTAACTGAAATTGCCAAAACACTTTGGGCAAAAATTAATTTTTATAGGCCCAAACTATTTTTATTAATAGCTGAAATTGGGCGAAATTATTTTTAAAATATTTAAATTAAAATAGGTTGTTTTATATAATTTTTTCATGTTCATTCTTATAAAAAATATCAAGAAGCCCAAACTATTGTCAAAGCTACTTTTTTTTCAAGCAAATATTAAAAATATTAAATTAAATTTGTGCTTAAACTCAGTATAATTATGCTTGAACAAAGCAAATTAACACCACAGGTTGAGATCTGACTTGGGTATTTATTTATTACAATTACAATTTTTTTGTTTTTGTTATTAGTCATTTTGTATCTTTAAAAGGTAATCTTTTCTGATAAAAATTTCAATTATGACATAGGAGCCACCATGCAATGAATATTTTTGATGGAATGAAATCCAAAAAAAAATTATTCAATGTGGTGTGTATATATAATTAAACATATCAAATATATCAGATATTATTTATAAAAAAATCCTAGCAATAATTCAGGAAAATCTATATAGAAAACTTAGAAAATTATCCACAAGCACCATTAGTGATGATGAGCTAAATATGAAAGAAATAAAAAGACAAATATTATTGAAGTCTCAAGCATTGAAGATAATATTGATTCAAATCAAATGAAAATTTTAAGTGGTCAAACAAATGATGATGATGATGGTTCTCTGACATCCAATAGTTATTCTCCAAGTATACCTTCACTGGCTTCTCGATGCAAATCAAGATTAAACAATAAATCAGCAGAATTTCAATCAAATCAAACTTTTTTAAAAATTTCCATGAAATTGGTTCAAGTACAATAAAAAAATTTTCATGCTTGCACTAAATAATAGTTTATATATTAAATACCACAGAATTTATACTCTTTAAACAATATTATAAGCAAGCTAATACTATAAAGCATCAACTAAGCGAAGGAAAAAATTTTATTTTGTTTGCACAATAAACAATGATTTATTTTCTAATTAAAATCAAATAACATAATATTATATTTAAATAATAAATATAAAAATTTGTGTTTTTATCAATTCACTAATTCCTTATGATCTCTAAATTTTATTGTAAAAGGTTTGGGTCCTGACCAATTCTTTATTAGATTATCAAAAGAATTGATATTAATAATAGAAAACCTACAAGGAAATGTTATTGACTTTAATTTTTTTGGTAGTGTTTGATTTAGCACTGAAAGTATTTTATCACCATCAAATATAAACACATTAGTATTTTTAAGTATAATACTTTCTAATTTAATACAATTGTTGAATACTTCTGTTAACTCCTGGTTTACTTCATCATTATAAAATATTGATAAATTTACTAGATTTTTACATTGTTGTGCAATTGATTGAAATAGTTTTCCCAAAAATTCACTATTACTCTCACAACTGCCAACACTCAGATATTTAAGAGTTTTTCCATTGATGTTAATAAATTCAGACAAATCTGGTAGAGATAGTTGTTTGCATCGATGTACCACCACAGATTCAATATTTGGAAGTGAAATATTTTTCAACAATTTTATTCCATCAGCAGGATGAGAATTAAGTGACAAGGTCTTTAGGTTTTTAAGTTCTGGTAATAATATATGATTTATATTGTTTAATCCACCATAACTTGAATAATAAATTATTGATTGTGAATGTGCGAGAATTGCTTTTTTAAAATTATCTGATAAAATTTGACCATAGTATAAATGAATGGCTAATCGCTTTATTTGATTTTGTGCTTTAATTAGTTGAGTCAGACTATCTAGAAGTTTATTGTTCAATATACCAAACACTTCTAATGATTGAATGTATTTGCAAATATTTGCTAATTTATCAATAAATTCATTACTAACAGATCTATTACAAACTAATCTATTAAGATTCTGAAAACAATTATCAAATATATGATGATTATTTAACTGATAAAAATTTATATTAACAGCATTAAACTCTCTAATAGCTGCTGAATGATCTAAAAAAAAACCTACTAGCCTATCTTGTAAAATATTTAATTTGAAAGAATTTGTCAACAGTGATCGAAATCTAAAAATTCTAAAATAAAATCTAGTACAAAATCTAGCATAATTATATAATGGTGATTTATCCAATAGCTCAAAAGTCAATTCAATACTATTCCTTGTTAAGAAATCTTTATCTTCTTTCAATAAACAATTAATTATTATTTTGACACTACCATTAGAATAAAGTGGACTTTTCCATAAAATTGGAAGGTTAATATTATGCCATTGTTTATTGACAAGAATGCAAGAATATAATGTTTTATAATCATCATTATTGTATTTAAATACTTCGGTTAAAAGCTCAAGTGGTAAAATCATTGTTGACTTTTTTCTTTGTAAAAAAAAAAAAAATTAATTTTATTTGTTGCACAATGATAATTGCATTTTGGCTTTTCCATCTACAACTGTGAAATGGTTCCACACTTTACTACTTGTTCTTCATTAAACACACTGCATTGTAAAGTTGTCATTCATTTATTATTTAAATAACAATGAATTTTGCAACTATAATTTTTATTTGTTATCGTTATTAACAACGACACAGCAAATTATAATTAGTTAGTTTTAACATGTAACTTTTAAAACATGTAAAATTCGTTGATGGTTATAGCAGATTTTAGCGATTTCTCTTTTGTCCCATAGATTCGTTGAAACGAGGTTTGACTGTAATTAACAAACAGGAGTTTTAATACCAATTGAGTTTAAATTCTTTTATCTATTCGGTAATACAAATTCTTATTCGATTTATTCGAATATTTAAATTCATAACGAATAAAACAATCATTCGAATAGAATTTATTCAAATAGAATCCCTATTAATATGACATTAAAAAAATTTAAGGATCTGGTTTGATTCGAATTTAATTTTAATTTTAATTTTTAATTGATAAAGAATATTATTATATTTAAATTTAAATTCTATATTTTTAGATACTAATGCATTTACAATGACGATTCACATTCTGATTTCTTCGAAATATTGTTGGGTGATCTTTTATCTTATTATTCAGTAAGATTCTTAATTTCCTTTGTTTAACTCCATGTTTTGAATGCAAATGAAAATAGCAGTAAAAATGAAGAAAATGAAAGCATTTGAAATTTAAAAAACACGTCAATGACCGCTTATAATATCTAGATTCATTATAACTGTTGCTTTTTTTTTGCTTCTTCCTCCGAATCTGGATATACAATAACATCGCCTACAACAATCTGTCCAATTTACCTTGCAGTTGATGGTGAAGATATAAGTCAAGTTGAAAACACTATTGATAATAACCCTTTAATGAAGGCAATTATTTGTTTATATGCTGTACTTGGAAATAAATATCCAAAGAACATAACAACAAAATAAAATCACAAAAAAAAAGAAAAAAAAAGAAAGATATTAACATACTTTCTAAATACCAGAAGGAGAATGGATGGAAGGTACAGTATATAAAAAAGTTTCCGGAACAATCCAAGACTGCTCCAATTGTGTTTTGACATTAGATTAATAAAGCCATTACTTGAATACATTTGTAATATTACTGAGAGTAATAATAGGTTTATCCATAACTTAAAATTCATTTGTGCTATTTTCACCCATATTAATATAATCTATTGTTTAATTATATCAATTCGAAGTTTATCATCAACCATCAACCAAATAAGATTTCGTCATAAGTGTTTTATAATTAATACTTTGGTAGTAGTTGAATGAATATCTTGAACATGTTATGAATTTTTGATCTTAATCAGAAATCACCGTCACCCGTCCTTTCTAGTATTTAATGAGCCAAACTTGAAACAAGCATGGTTTGAACCCGTCTTCCGTTCTCCAAATTTCCTCTGTGCCTCTTTTTTTTGAAAATAATATATCTTTTTCTAGTTGATATCAGATTTATTTTAGCCTGATAATAGGATTTACAAAATTATGTTTATTAGCAAGTGAAAAAAAAGATTCGTTTTTGACTATAAGAGATGGAGTGATCTAATATTTCGATTTTAATTCCAATATAAGTAAGTTTACGAATGAGAACGCAAAGTAAGCCTTTTACATATCATGTGATATGCTTATACAACTCGCATCAACATCCATGAAGTCAAAATGTGTATAGAGATATTTCTTTCAGGCAATTTTGGTGCAAAGAAGAAGCCCTGCTCATTCCTTACACATTTTCAAGATTAATATAATTTAATTTGCCAGGATAGGTTGTATTCATCATTTAATTAAAATACGAGTTTATTTAATGATAATAACAATTGAAATGTCAAAGGCTAACTAGTTTCAGTTCATGAGTCCCAAAATATTATATATTAATTAACTTTGCATAAAATTTATAGCTTAAGTACTCTCTTGTAAAATTTAATTGGAAAAATAAAATTCAAAAGTATTTCAAAGTTTAATTCTTCGATATGATTTATAATACATTTCGATTAGTATAATAATTTTTTTACAAGGAAATTATAAAAAAATAAAAAATTTTCAATAAAAGAAATTGATTTTATATATATTAATATAAAGGGGTTGTTCACCACCATGCCATAATTAACTTTAATAGTTGCCAAAATTATCTTCGTAATTTATTTGAACTCCAAGTCAAATATTAATAATATGTAGTTCATCCATAAAAAAAATATTGAGAATCCGCAATAATCACTTTCTCTCCAAAACAATTATGGCAAACAATCATAAGTTAGAGGAGGGACAAATCTTGGTAAAATTGCAAATTCAGGAATCCTTCTTATACTGGTACATGTTGGTCTGTGTCGCCATTCCCTAACACAAAAAACATCCATTCCACAAGAGACTGCATTTGGACAATGTCAATTCTTCTTATAGTCAATATTTTACTTGATGGATAATGGCCATAATATTGACATGTCAAACAGCTAAACGGATGTGATTGGTTGTCCGGGTAAGTTTGGTGTAGATGGATCATACCGTGGTAACACAAGACTTACATGACTGGGATCGTTTGTGTCGGTGTTGCTAGAACTGATGATGTTGTAGAAATTTTCCCGTCGTATTTATTAGACTTGCAAAAAACTACTATTTTTGCTTCCATCTTTACACTGAATATAACAATTGTAGACACGACGACATAAACAGTGTAATAATTATGTAAGTTCACTTCAGGCAAGGCTGATGCTGGTGTGATGATAACAACACTAATGTTGTCATTGATGTGTATATTGTGACATCTCTATTGATGGAGATGACAAACTTCTTGTTAGAAGTGAATGTTGAAATTTGCAAAATTGATGATGAAGTTGTTTATGATTGGACCGTATCGACCATGACTTGTGCTGTGACGGTTGAGGTTTCTGCTGTATTGACCATAGTTGTAACAACCTCAATACTGATTCTAATTCACCGTCAGTCTCGTATCATCATCTATTATTACATTATCATTACCATCATCATTAACATTGTTATTAACGTTTGAATATTATTATTGGTATTGGTGTTGTTTGTATCATTATTTATTATTGTTGTAGTTGTCATTGTTGATATTATATTGTTAGATATTATTATTATTTATTATTATCATTATGTGTGAAATGTGTGTAAAAGACATTTTTTTCGGTAGTCATGAATGAATGTTATGATTTTTTAAATGTGACAAAATTGGAAATTTTTAAAATTGAAATATGTAACATCGATCACAGCGAACAAGAATTAGATATCATCAATATAAATGATATAAATAATATTTATTTCTTATATTCCCGTTATTATTATCATTTCATCTTCACCCTTACGCTCATACTATTTCTAATGTATTGCTTCTATTGAGATAGTTATGTTTAAATTTTAGAAAAAGTTAAAGCTTTCAAAGAAACATTTCATAAATGGTCGATCTATTTTGATGGATTATAATAATAAGAAATGTAAATAACTGTATTATATATACTGAATAAGTAAATAAACATTGTATTCGAAAAAAATTATTAAATAAGTAAAATGAATATATTTAAATGAAGAATGCCAATGCTCCGATCAATAATAATAAAAATGTAATGTTTTACACTTGTCTGTAAAACCTTTCTTGATTGTATATAAAAATAGCTTAATAATAATAGAATAGGAAATTCGATATAAAAAGTCTTCATATTTAATACTAATAAACCTCACGAATCTTCGTTTGAATTGTATTAAATGTTTTAGTAATATATTAATATAGAAAGTAAATCTTACTTTATATTTACACACCTGTAGAATCTCTCTAAAAGTAAGAATTCTAGTGGGTAGAAAATTGCTACATTTATAGACTTTGCTTCTAATAAGACTCCATGGGTATTGACGAGTGCTTGATGGCAGAAGTTTAAACAATAATCTATTACTTGGTTTTATATCTAAAAGTAAAGTTTATTTGATAAATAGTAAAAAATTTTTCTTTAACGAAATGAAAGTTACTATTTAAATTTTCTCGCTCCAAGCAAATGTTAGTTTTCCATTTGATTAATCATTTGTTAATTGGTAGGTAGTATTTCAAAATAAAATAATTTTCACGCCCATTACTAGCTCGAATCACTTGATCCCGGCCAATTTCATTATTTTTGAAGCTTATCACGTGGATACACTGGACTCGAACTCTCTTCAAAACGAAAAATTTTGGGGTTGAAAAAGTTATTGCAATTTTAATTCGAGTAAGTAACCAACTAACTATATAATGATTGAACTGAATTGCCAATGTTACACGTTCATTCATTCCTTTGTATCGAGTATACAAAGAGGAAAAATTTTTTAATTAAAAGATTTTCTTATGATAATGAGAATAATAAAAATGATGACGAATAAAATGATGAAGGTAATGACGAATCAATGATGATGTATCATTTAATAAAAGTGGTGATGCCGAATCAATCAATGAAATTGACAATCAGGAAAATGATACCGAATCGATTAATGAAAATGGTAACGAATCAAATAATGAAAGTGGTAACGAATCAAATAATGAAAGTGATAATAAAGTAAGTTTGTGAGATACAAATTTAGATTCTAATTGCAGTTACTTTGTGAAAGTCCTTCAAAATGGGATGGAGTGAATAATTATAAGCCTTCTGCACGTCATCCTATTTGCTTTGGAAATGCATCACGAGCTAGGCGACTTCATGCTACGCAAGCTAAAAAAAATGGCAGAAGACAATGAATGGTAAATATAGTGTTTAATTTGTAGCATGACTTGATGGAATTTCGACATAGTGGTCAGATGACTGCAACAATCTGCAAGTAATTTCCATATCTGATTAGCACTCATCTGGTTGGCATATATAAATAAAACAAGTTTCCGCCAATTTGACAACTTTGATTCATGGCGCGTTACACGTTGTAGTTTCCAAATTTGTAGAACTTTTAAAAAAATATTAGTGTATATATTAATATATACATATGGGAACAACATGACGCGCCACATGATTCAAAAAATTTTAAAAATTTTACTATGCAAAATAGGTATGGTTTCTAAACCAAAAATGTTTTGCGTATATACATATATGAGCGGTATTAACTCAATATAGATTTTCCTCATTTTATTGAAAAACTCACATTGGTAAAAATTTGTTTTTGATAACGTGTTATTTATTTGTAACATATGATCAAGAGAATAAATAAACTTAAAGTTAGAGGTTAGAATCGTCCAAAAAAATCCTTAGTAGACTACTAGCTGATCAAAATTTCTTTAGTCGACTAATTATTTGATTATTTAGTCGACTATTAAGTTGATTATTTTAGTTGACTATTAAGTTGATTATTTTTTGTTGACTATTTTAGTCGATTATTTAGTATTAGTCGATTATTTTAGTCGACTAATTAATCGACTAAATTTTTTTTTATAATAATAATTGAATCTTTCACTTTTTCAAAATACTTCCACACAAAAACATGTGTTACGATTCGTTTTTTTAAAGGTCTTCTGGAACTACTGCTCAAATCATTGGAACTTGAAGCTAATGAACTATTCCTTGTATCGGAAGTGTTTATTCGTTCACATGTAAAATTATCATCAACAACACCACCACTATTGTTGTCATCATTATAATGACGGTATTGATATCTTTTGCATAGAAATTTTCCATCTTGAATGATAAAACACAAAAATCGTAATTGGTCAGACAATAATAATATTAGCATAGTATAGTCAACTAATTAGTCGATTCCAACCTCTACTTAAAAAGTTTTCATTTATTATTTGTAAAAACATAAGAAGGTACAAATATTATAGAAAAGTAGCTAATAATGGTTGGTCGAATCGATGAATCAAGTTTTATGTTATTTGTTGTTATTATCCATGCATTTTCTGTCGTCTTGTAAATTGTCAAAACATTGCAAGGATCAAATTTGATTTAGGTAAAACATGCAATAAATGTTTGCAAGTGCATCGTTTAGTTAAATAAGATCAAACTTTTAACAAAAATGGTATATTTTATTTGCCCCAGTGGCGATTTCCTATTTCTTTTCTTTTTCAATTTGTGGTCGCAAAATGCTCAAGATCTGGTGGTGGCTCTCTGATGTGTAAATGATTAATATCCAGTAGTCGCCAATTATATATAGGAAATATGATTTTGTTTTTACCCAATAACTATATTCTCCTGCAAAGTAAAAACAGAAATATATAACTCTGTAATATTCTGCCAGAACCCATGTTTTGTACAAGGGAATTCCTTTCCCAGTCTGGTGACAAAGCCAGGTCGTCTTCTTGGACTTGAATTTGTCATTCCAAGTTGTATTTTCATGTTAAACAATGAAACAGAACCAAAACAATAGAAGCTATAAACTTGTTACGTTCTAACTCGTTTGCTTAGTTTGTTATCGTAAACGCCGAACCCTCTTCTGTTCAAAAGGAATGTTGGTTTTTAGCTCTAAACATAAACAGATAAATAAGAAAACATTCCAGGCCCGAATTTCTTTTATGGTAGAATTAGCAGAATTCTTGAAATCATTCATCTCGATACCGGTTACTAATGCTTTAAAACATCAGGTTGAAGTACACCTTAGGTGGTAACATAATAGAAAGTAAGTTAAATAAAACGTGTCATTGGATCCATGCGAGTCAAAATAAGAGAACGAACGTTATGCTAAAAAACAATCACGCCATATTCAAAATATATTACAATGCAATTTCTTTACCATAGATAAAATACTGCTTGCAAGAAAATACTAAACTCGAGATGCTTCAAACCATCTTTCTCATTTTCATGGTAGCGATATAGAATTATGATTAATATTAGTATATTTAATTCAAGAATAACAGGAAACTAGGTAAAGAGTAGAAGGCATTAAAAAGAGCGTCAAGAGAAAAATACTAAATTGAAGCTGCTTACCCAAGATTTTTTTATCGCAGTCAACTTATTGAAATAAATTTGCAAGAAAAGAAAAAGATATAGGCTGATACAAGAAACAAGTTCAGCGGCTAAGAACAGAAAAAGAAAAGAAACAAAAATGGTATCGCCGAACTGAAAGTGAATATTTAAATGAAGAGAAGAGGACAAGAAAAATGACACTGGACAGCAAAAAACTATTCAGGAACTACAAAGTTAAGGAATAAAAAAAAAATATACAGGATGAAATTATTCAAAACGAAAAAGCAAAATGGAAGCCAAGCTCTAAAATTAGAAAACCAAATTCAACAAATCGAATTAGGTCACATTCTCCGTGAAGAAAAAAGTTTTGGAATAGCGTGAGAAGTCACGCACGCGCGAATGAATGGATGTACTTTATACCGTTTAAATGAACCGAAAAAAATAAGTCATTAAATGTATGTGTATTACATAATATACATCATATAAAACGAAAACGATAAATCATACATGTAATGTGTATTTGTGTGTAACAATAAATAATAATAATAAAGAATTTTAGAACTTTGGGAATGAAAGTACATTTATCGTCATCATTCAATCATTGTTACTATAACAACCAATAGTAATAAAAATAAACATTCCATTTGGGCTTAGTTAGTAACTCAACGAAGAACGTGCAAGGGAATAAAAAAATTTTATTATAATATAATTTTTAGCGTCGTTATTATATTATCTAAAATTGTAATTAATCATTTTCCTAATCTCGGTCGTTCATTACTATTATTATAAAACTCTCTCTCATTATACGACAATATTAAGAGATTATTCATTCATTCATATAGAAAAAGAAACACTGCATTTAACGGCCTAACGTCTCTTCTTTTTTTACACCTGATACACCAAATATAAACTTGCTTATTTATTTTGATCAAATGATTAATTCAATAATTTATTCATTTATATAATTATATTAATGTTATATATTAATTTATTATTGTTATTTTTTCTTCCTTTTTTTTAGAAGAAAAAAATTATGTACAAAGAAAAGAATATATACATAATAATAAAATTGAAATTTTAATTAAAAGTGAAAAATGAGTGACTAATGTTATTATTTGTTAGTTATTATTGTTATTATAATTAATAAAAGAAAGAATGTGATTTATAAATCTAAAAAATTTTATACAAAAAAATTGAAAAAATAACTTTTTTCTTCTATTTAAGTTACTTAAGTATGTATATAAATATATTTAGCTTTTATGTATATATTATTTAGAAAGAATAATTACAAACTCAGAAAAAATTTTAAATTTTCTGGAAAAAAAAATAAAAATAAAAATTCCATCCTTGTCACAAAACTTTGGACTACTATGAAAAATTCTTTAATTAATTAATCAACACATTCCCAAAGCATATTTATTTTCCTCCACGAAATTTATTATATCATCTTGAGTTACATATATTTTTTTGCCCAAAATTTTCAAGAAGGATTTTTCCATTTTATTTACCTCCTGAACTGTATAAATTCCTGATATTTCAGCCATCCTTTGATTTGTAATGTTGTCATGGTCATCTTCATTTTCGACATTGTCATTTTCATCTTCGTCCAAGATTTCTTCCTCATTATCAATCTCTTCCTGATGATGACGAACATTTATATCATCATTATTTAATATAACATTATCTTGATAATAATTGTGATAATGAGTGTGGTAATTTACATCGTCATCTTGATTAAATTCATAAATTTCAGATGAAGATGAACTAATAATTGAAGATGGAGTTGTGGATAATATTGGCGTTGAAGATATTATGTTATTATTACAGTTCGAAGAAGAGGATGATGATGACCTTGAAGATATGGAAGATGATGATATTGGTTTTTCATTATTTAACATAGTATCATCGTTATTTGAAGAATTGGTAGGAGGGAGAGTAGGAGGAGAGGTATATGAATTATTGTTGTTGTCATTATCGTTGCGCCGATGATTATTCCTCGAGTATTTAGAAGATACAAGTATTGCGGATAAAAATAGTTTGTGGCATGTTTCTATAATTATTATAATAAATTAGTTATAAAAATGGTTAATGCTATGCGGAATTTGATATTTGATCTTATTAATAATCAATTTGATTGGTCAGCTGATCGGTTTTGATGATCATTAAAAAAAATTTTTTTCTTATTTACCATATTCACCGTGAGCATGTTTTGGGAGTCTTTGTTTTAGTCTTGCGACAAGAATCAACGCAGATATTGCAGTTTGTACATCAATTTGTGCTCTGGTGGTAACTTTCTGAACAAAATACACCAGTTCTGGTAATGGAATATAGTTCCAATTCACGTATTTTGGCGGTTGGTGAGTTTTTAATATCCCGGACATGCTTTCCGCCATGAAATCTGAAGGACAAGAAGAGGATGAAACGTAAGGTGTTAGAAAATGAAGGAGGAAGACGAGTTGTGGAAGAAGTGAAAGTAGTGGAGGCAGTAGTGGTAGAGTGTAATCGAAAAATATTTACCTGTTAAAACATTTGGTAACGGTTTATATTTCCTATTACCATCAATATTGTCATTATTATTATTATTAATGTTATCGTCATCGACGTTGCCGCCGTTGTTATTATTAATAGTTGAAATAGTATTTTTTCTTGTTCTTTTATGAATTAGTTGTGGAAAAGAAGTTGAAGTCGTTGATGTAGATAAAGACTTTCTATGAAGACTTTTTTTAGCATTTGAAGATGAGTTGTTGTTATTATTATTATTATCGTCGTCAAAATAATAAATGCAAGTCATTTTTGTATATAAATAGTGTTGGTTGTTGTTGTATGTGTGTTGTTAATGTTATTATCGCTTAATATTGAGGAATTAATAATAATGAAGTTTTTTTTAAAAAATATTTCCAAGCAAAATTTTTTTGCAGTATATAAAAATTATTTTCAGAAAAAAAGTTAATTAAGAAAAAAATAAAAAAATTAAACGAGACAATAGTTTTTAAATAACAAAAACAAATAATATAAATAATATAAAATAATTAAATAGAAATCAAATCTATTTATATATATATATACAATAAGATTATAATAATAGTATTATTTACTTACATATGATGATAGCCTATTTCAACCATATAAAAAATTTTTTTTAAACTACTAGTATATAAATAAAAAAATTTTGATCATTTTAAAAAAAAATTTTAAAATTTACCAGAACCAAATATGATTATTGTTCAATAAATCAATAAATTTACATTTTTCAAAAAATGTTTAAGAAAAGAGAAATAAATGAATTTTAACTCTTTAAAGGCAAAAAAATAAAAATTTAGAAAGACTTCTGATTATATATTACTAACTAACTTTAAATAATATTAAAATAATATTAAAATTGATTATTGTGAATAATATTATGATAATTGTGATATCGATAATACAAATCTATAATAATAATAACAATAAATAATAGCATGATGAAGAAAGATAATGATATTAAAAAAAAAAACTAATACAAAATTGATTATCTATCGTATTTAGTTATAAATCCCTTGCATTTCGTTCTTACATTAGGTATAAACGATATAAAATTTTCGTGATAGAAAATTTCTATAAGAGGACTTCTGAAGAAGAAAATTATGATGATGATGACAAGATGATATATTGATGATGTGATAACAAAAAAAAAAGGGCATTTTTAAAAAGTTCGAAGAAAGTGGAAATGGCAAATTAAAAAGATTGACAAAGAAGAGAAGGAAATCATCTTCTTTGATCATTTATAATAAAATAATACAAGAACATTACAATATTATTGCTGATTATGTAACACAACATGAGGTATATACATCAAGCCATCAAAATTTTATTCTCAAAACCCGAGTTTTTTTTTGTTAGTTTAATTGTTCAAAGATTCCAATTATTGTTAGCGCGATTCATGAAAAAAAACAAATTAACCAATCAATTGAATAATTGAATTAATTTAATTAATTAATATTAATTAAATTATCCAATTGTTACTCGTCATGGAATCTCCCCTAAATACAATTTTCTCTCATGGTAAAGAATCAAATGATCTTCATACCCCATCAATTAATTACCAATATACCCTGCAATGCTAAGCAACTGAAAAAAAATTATATGATGACTAGCATAATAATAATGTCATCGACATATCATTATTATCATCAGTAACAATTAGCAATGTAATAATAAGGAAAAGAAAAAGGAAAGACAAAACACACAGATACATATTACGCACATACATAATAATAGAAGTACCCTTTTATCGACTTTGTCGATCAAAATATAATAAATTTCTAAATAATGCAAATGCATCCAAAAAACCCCATTATTGTTCTTTAAAGAAAAAAAAAAATTTTTTTTTGACATTTTTTTTTGTATGCATGTATGTATTTAAGCATTATGTAAAAAATTACATATATCGAATGGATGGATGATGATGGATGGAGTAATTGATTGATTGTTTGGAATTGGTATTGAATGATTGGATAAATGATGAATGATTTTTTTTTCTCCAAAATTATATAATTAAATTTCGTTGAAAATTGCTTAAAACTATTAAAACCATAAAAATTTAAAAAACCTTAATTTTAAAATCACGATTTTTTAATTTTAATTCCATGTGTTGTGATATAGATTTTTATCATCCAATAAAACTTTTACCCCACAAAAAAAAAACCAGAGATTTATCACGATTGTAGATCTACTATTTACTATTATTGTTTTTACCATCTCATTTGTTAAACTTAAAAAAAAACTTTTCCAATAGTTCATTGAAATATATTTCATCAAATAAGCCACATTTACAACATGAGTCAAAATGTGAAAGTTGTTTAGTTTAGAAGAAAAATATCAATTCAATTAAGTTACAAGACATTTTCTATAAAGAGGTAAAATGGAAAGAAAGAAATCCCATATTCTATATTAACATATTGTTTTTAATTTATAATACCAAAAAAACATAAATATCATTGATGAAGTCGCAAATAAGAATTAACATTAAACATTCTTGGCCACCAACGAGGCCACCAAATTCTGACAACAAAATAAATTCGTGGCTTTTGGTATGAGATATTTTCTTGATAATAATACTAGTGACAATGAATTGAATTAGACACTCCCACTCTCTCTTTCTCTTATTATTATCTACATATTATAATTTTGTTCATTAGTATTTTACACTATAACAAAACATGTCAGATCCATATTTTTCAAAAAAGAACAACGATTCAAAAAAACAATGATTATGTGCCATTTTTATATTCATTTTGTTAATGTGAGGATTAAAAAATATGAGAGTAACTCATACGTAGAAGGGTTATTGGAAAATTATAATAACTGTTAGTAAATTCCAAATTAATTTGACTATTACGGTTTACTTGATTTAAGGTGAAAAGGGGAAAAAAGGCTATCTAGAAATTCTTCATCGACAAATAAATATTGGTCATTTTGCACTAGAAAGCAGTGTTGGAAGATGACAACTAATGATCATTGTCATAAATCAAGCAATATCATTGGCACATTTACTTTTTCGAGAATGGCTTGGAATTTAATAATATTTTATCACTACCTAAAAAAGTTTTTTTTGTTAGGGCAATTGTCACTAAAATATAATAATAATTAAAGACACAAATTCCTTGACTTAAAAATTTTCACAATTAGCAAGGCGGTTACGAGAAAATATCTGCTTTGCTGGTAGTAAAGCATCCAGATATTATTTTAGACCTCCAGCCTTTTGCATGTTTTGAATTTGATTTATTTGAATCATTTTTACTCGTGCGCGTAAGAGAAGATTTCAATTATGAATTTTATTGGTCAATTTACTAAATGATCTGATGACCATGGTCATTTAAGTAATTTCATTAGGGTCGTAACCGAATAACCCATGACCAATGGTCATATGATATGTCATCAAGAAAATATGGTCATTCATTACCCATCATCACCTCCAGAAAGAGTATTTGCCCAAAATGTTATAGTAATAAATTAATTATCGAAATAGATAACTTAAACTCGATGCATCGGTCATTTTTTCCCGCTATTTAATTATTTAGAGACAAATAAGGCAAGGAATAACTTGTCTATATATTTACATGATCATAGAAAATACGATTATATAAAAATATACATATTGTAGAAGGGAATGTTTGCAAATTATAAAAAAAAAGAATATTTAATATATGGATGAAAGTTTTTATTCATATTAATATAAAAAAAATATATTATATAAAGTTCCGCCACTGCATTCAACTACGGGGAAGTTATATATAAAAAACTTCAAAGTAACAAAAAGATTTTAGAATGCTTCGTTGGTAATTTTTACGATTTCAACAATTATTATTGTGTTTATTATTTAAAGAATAAAATATTCCAAGACAAGAACCAAATCAAATATAAAAGGAGTTTTGTAGGTCCAGAAATATAATTATAATATCAACAAATAAATAATAATATAATGAAAAAGCGCAAGGGATTTCTCTCTCCTTATTTATTTAATATAATACAGGTATCTGGCTGGAATATCAATCAAAGTCATACTATTAATTTTACTAATTGTGTGTGCGATAAGAATAACACGAGCATTAGAAGAAATCAAGAAAACATGGAAATATGTATGAAATAGATTGTTAATTGAAAATTCGTACTGGTTGAATGCTTAAAATCTAACCAGAAAATTAAACAAGCTGGTTTTATATGTGAGCTTGATGTCGTTAGTGGAAAATGACACATGCAGGGCAAATAATATCTTTTTATTCTACACCCTAAAAGAGAAGTACCCAAGTACAACACTTGTTTGGTCCTTGTATATATAATGAATGCGCCGTCAAGGATCGATCATGTCACAAATCACAACAATACAGAGAGATATGTCGTGGTTTCGATAGAATTATTGTGTAATAAATAAATAGATATGGTTAATTAGAAAAATTAATGATATTCTTTCCAAAATTAACCCTATACACACTATTGCTATGTGTAATGGTCATGGGGACAGATAAATAAATTGATTGTAAAAAAAAAAATCCCTGCATTTTTTCATCAACATCTAAAATCTTTTATAGATAAACTTTGTTTGTTTAGCTAATTGGTTGTTAAGCCGGAAAAAGCCACAAAATAAAAAACACAAGATTTTTGTTTTATTTGTTTTACATATCCTTTTTTTGCCGTGTTTTAATAATAAAGAAAAACATTCATGTGATTGAAAAAGATGTTTCATACAAACGCCACCTCATTGATATTAATATTAATATGCCAATATTTTCAATTCTTGGGCTAATTACTCATAACTCAGTTCTTTGATTTAAAAGAGTGCTTTCGCTATTATTGATAGCAACGGAAACGAAACTAGTTGCTCTAATCTATCGAGCTACTATTATTACTATTAATCACGTAAACTATATAAAATAGAATCAAAACATTAAATCTTTCTTTGAATGTTATTGTGGCGGTAAATAGCAGCAATTATAAAATTTGGAACCTTTCCTAAAAATACATCGCATTGAAACTTGTATAATATTTTTGCAGAGTAATCATGATTTTTTCTTAGAGAAAATTTCCTCCTTTCTTTCTCTTTCTTTTTCACTCTCCATAGTACAGTAGTAGTAGTATAGTAGTAGTAATAGTATCATTATTATTGACCATTTTTAAAATTCATTTTGAAGAGAATAATGTTATCCTTTAAAAATTTTTGCCTTGTTTTTTTGAACGCTTGCACATATCAATTTTAACTTAACCTATTCATTATTCACATGATGAAATCCAGCTCGTCATTTCTTTTTCTTTATAATAATAATCATTAGCGCTATTTCGAATATTATCAAAGTTGATTATTAGCTTTTGCAGTAATAAAAACGTCACTATTACAATTCAATGCAACAAATTGAGTCCTGGATGTAGAGAACAAATACCGCAAACTGCTATAGATAAACAACAGGTTTTGACGACTAATCTATTGGTTTAATTTATTGTTATTTACGGAGAAAAATAAATCTGTGCCGTGTGGATCATATATTTTATTATCCATATCAATCTTTTTTTTTATAATAATGATAGCGTTAAACAATTCGTTGTTCTTTATTATTATCATCAATGATTGATTGTGATTGAAATGGACAATTAAATTCATTATCTTAAATATATATATTTTTTCAATGAAAAAGTTTAAATGTGTGTCGCTTGTTTATGGCAGTTTACGGTAGATGAGTCACATTTGTCACACACAAATCACGTTTTCAATGGCCAATAAATTTAGCCGTAAAAATAAAAACCGTAATTAAAAATAATTGGCTATTCGTTAATATATATATATATAAACAAGTCTGTGGTTATTTTCAATTTTTCTTGAATAGTTGATGCTAAAAATTTGAAATTGAAAAATTCCAACTTTTACACCACTCATCGATTTTCTCGCCAAACTATTAATAAATAATGGCCCACGGCTGTTGTATAGAGAATGAGTAAACTTGGCTTTGAATGTTATGCAATTATTTTTTACTTTGCCGATAATTCGAATTTTTATCTTAGTATCCATATAGAGATGGTTACGTTACACTTGAGGAGTCAGATAATATTACTGCGCCATGAATAGCAGCACCTTGAGAGAATCGTGTTTAGTTTGCTTCTTAGTAATTAGCCTGGGCGGAACAAACTTGTCAAGTAATGAATCTTAAACAACGAAAGCAAAATTCAAAAAAGCCCCTTTCTTTGACAAACCCTTACTTTATTTCAATTCCTAGTACTAGAGGATCAGGTACACCGCATTAGTTCATAATAATGACCGCCTTGTGGCTTCGTTCACAAGCATGGGACGAGAAATTTCTTTCGATTGGCTAATTTAATTCACATTAATATATGAATTGCAAAGTCACAGATTTCATTTCCATGTGCAACATCATCAAGCAGTCGTCAATGCCCATAAAGTTTATTAGAAACAAAGGTTTTTTAATATAGCAAATCTCTTACTAATTAATAGATCAAATTTTTAATATTGCAATCTTATGAGAAATTTTAATCCAATATTCGCGAGGCAAAGACTTTTTTTATATGGTAATTTTTTATTCTATTACAATTATTTGTTTATATTTGTTTGAAGATCGACATTCATCTTGAATATTTATCCAATAATAATACTCTTTTTTATTTATTTATATACAGTGTGTTACGAAAATAATTGACGTTTTCTAAGAGAATAACCGAAATCCAAAGCCACATTATAAAAATTATATCAGTGCCAAAAGATTACATGTGAAAATTTCTAGCATATTATTATGTAGGTTCTAGAGCAATGATTAAAAAGCTTTACATTAAAATTTAAAAATTTTTCTTTTCAAAATAATCGAATTTCTTTTATTTTTAATTGATGAGTTCTAGAAAGTATGAATTAATTATCATTTCCTAAATATTTACAAAGTTTTTTTAATTTTTAAACATAATCAATCGCCGCCTCGAATAAAAGTGGTAACCAAAAAATAAAAATAAAATAAAAATTGGTAAAATTTTTTGGTAAAATGATTTAATTGTTTCAGGAGGCATATATTATTAGTAATAATTAAATGATGATAATAATCGCAAAAAAGTATTAATGGATTAAATAAGACAATTAAAAGAAAGTCCAGATCGTGTATAATTAGTAAAAATAATTAAAAATGATGCATAAATTTTAATTGACCGAAAAAAAGGCGTTAAATTTGTATTTATTATGAATGTGAATATTAGTTTGGTTTGCTTTGTTCCCACGTCTCGTAAACCCGAAAATCACGTGACCATCGTACTGTTGGTTCATCATTTTCGTAAAAAATTCTAATATTATCATCAGTAAGACCTCTGAATTCAGCTTGCTTGACTGCCTTGGTGAATTGTTTTTCTTTGGGTAAGTTAGATTCTTTGCAAGCATGAATAACCCAACTAACAGTACTAGCTGGTATTTCCAACCCATTCCTATATATTATCCACAATAATATGATTCCAATGAAAATAAATAATATATATATGAGTACTAAGAAAACATATACGGGATGAATTGAAATACATCCAAGATTCACTCGTACGGGTACATCTGAATCACTTGCTGTCATTGTATCTCTCACTTCCATATATGATGCCCAATACTCTGGTGTATACTCCAATATTGTATCATCAGTACCTTTGATTTGTGCTGTCAAATATTTTCTTCCAATCAGTTCACCTGCTACATTCAAAGCAACAGCAATTTCACCTAATAAATTGACACTGCCCTGACTACCAACTTTAATACGTGTTACCTCACACGTATGTGCCTTAACAACAATGGGTACCGATACAATTTCAGTCATTGATGGATTATTTCGATGGTAAGGCAATCTGTATTCTTGCGGTACTCTAAGTGTCCATAGCCTGTGTATAACTCCAGCTCCAACCTCACTAACGTTCCCCCGTGTAAACTCTTCTATTATTAGTGTTAACAAACCAGTTCCTGTTGGTTCAGGATCATTTCCGGTGCGATTGAAATGTACATATGTCCTAAAATTTCTTCTCGTGTGATTGTAGCCATAAGGACTATTACCAAATACGTAATTAGTGTGTACTTCTGGCAATAATTTACGCAAGTCACTGTTTTGGTACAATTCAAAGAAACTTATAGAAGTGTTCATATTTACATTAGTTGTTCCTGACGCGTAAATTGAACATGAACTTCTCCATGGGTAAGGATCAACATCATATTCAGCATCAAATTTCCAACTAGAGCCATATGGAATATGTCCTACTAGTACTCCACTTGGAACTCCACTTTTGTTTCTTTTTTGTACCATTGCATCTGTTTCAGCGTATGATGCAACTGCAACCTGAAAATCCTCTGTGGTTATTTGTACCCGAGTTGTTTCAACAGTTGACTTACATGATTCAACATAACCGATAGTATTTACAACAATCATACTATCAAACTGTGTGAGTGCTATACCAAGTGTCACCAGTAAGCAAGTAACTACCGTTAACAATGTTCTCTTTATACGCAACAGATTAAAAACATCAATTACATTAAGTGGTAATATAGTCTCTAAAACTGGTACTGAATTAGTTTTTCTGATCTGTCTTGATGCATTATATCTTATGACAGCTGATAAGAAAAAGAACCATCCAATACCCAAGAAACTTAGAATAAATCCACAAAAAGTTTGTACTTTGGTTAGGGTGAATGGGATATAAAGTTCGAGAGCCATAATGTGAGTTGTATATATATATATCTGTGAAAAAAATTTTCCGGTAAATTATAAGGAAAATAAATAGAAATGTGATGGAAAATTAAAAATTTTTTTTGTCGAAAAATCTAGTTATTTATTTATAATCATTATAATAATCACTACTATTTTTGGTAACGTCGCCACAACATAAAATTCAGGTTGTTAAAGGTCGTAATAATAATAACCCCAATAATTGTTACCTCTAGGATTCTTTAATCTTTTCCCCAAAAGGCAATCACCGCCATCGATGTTTTCTTCTTACCTTCCTTTGGAATCGTTCAAAACAATACAAATTTAGAGACTATATACTAAAAATTACCAATGCATAACGATAAACTCCTCCATACCATATCAGAAGTTGCAAACTGCTTTTGATCAATTGTTTTTATTTTAGCGATCCCATTGAGTTTAACAAGAATTCATTTGAGATTTCAGCCCAGGATAAATTCGTGAATTAGTAATTCTAATAACATCAGCTCTAGAAACCTGAATATATATGAGACTCTGATCTGAAATAATTTTTGCTGGTAAAAACACACAAATAAAATATAAAAATATAAACAGATCAAGATACAAAAAAAAGGTTGAAATTATGCTTAGTTAATTTGAGATTTTTTCAGTGCTTTTATCACATAAGAAAAAGTTCGATGATAATTTCATACTCTGTAAATCATTGTCTAGCATATCATCGCCATCCAAATAACCAGTATAAACTATCTATCTATAATATAAAAGTAAAATAGATCAGAATTTTGCAAACAAAGCAAGGACATTTTAAAAATCCACGTTCATTTACAAATCAGAATAGATTTTGTATAAACGGCCATATGATTATAACTCCGTATGCTCTTTTAAGTAATACCTATACATTTTAATTCCTTTACCAATTTTTTATTGTACAATAAAGATTTTCTTGTTTGTTGATACAAATTTTTTTAAATTATTGTAGATCAATTCAAAAATTTTTTTTTGATTTTGAGTGGGTTTGTATTAACCAATAATATCAAGTTTGTGCAGATATTTTATAATTATTAACAAAAGATCTTTTTTCAAAAATGTGCGCATTTATTATGTAACATAAACCCCGCACTCAATTTCATACTTAAAATGGTCAAAAATGGAATTTTATATTAATATATTAATATGTATTTTTTTCCGAGAATGTCACATCCTAATATGGTCTATAACAAAAACAACAATAACTGGTCATTATTGTTCGTCCGCCATGTGGGTTTGATTGTTCACTTTTGCCAATCATTAAATTAGCCAATAAGGATGCAGAACGTATATCGATAAAAAGATCTTCAATGCGTAATCAAATAAAATCGATGAACTTTAAAGCTAAATAGAGAAACGGTTGACTAGTTTTACAATTTATCGTCAAGATATTTTTAAAATTTTATTGGTTCCGGAGTTATTTGTTTTTAAAGTCGGTTTGTTATACTACATATAAAACCTTCCAAATTTGAAACATGATTTTTTAAATTATCTCGACTATGGATTATCAATTCCCTTATTTAAATTTAAAGTTTTTTATAGTGGCGCTCGCTGTACGGACATGTTATTCCAGGGCCTACAGAAAAATATTTAATATTAAATATTTAATATTATTTTTTGTACAAAAAAATAAAAAGTAAACTAATACTAATGTAATATTAGAAGTATTATTTGTTCTGAATATATATATTGTTTATTAATACTACCCTTTTTTTTATCAGAGTCGGGTCACATACATTTTTTTGTTTATTTAGAAATACATTGTTTATTTGTTTGTAGTTCTTATCTTACTCTTCAAAATATTTGAATTCCTTGAATTCCTAAAAGATAAAATATGTAGAAAATTACGGAGTACAAGATTACGTACTAGTACATAATAATAATAATAATAAACGTATTACTAATTATTATTGTGATCTTCAGGATCAAAGAAATCTCGTTATTATTATTGGGGTTTTTTCCTGCTATTATTATTTGGGCCTTAATTCTTGGTGTTATTTTTTTGGTTTTGCCTATCCAAACAAAAAAATAAAAGTTCATGTTAAAAGATGATTGATTGATATTTCTTCCAAGAATTATTTGTCATGATAAGATGAGTCTTATTTTCTGATTCCGCTTGTTAGTTAATTGGTAGTATATTGCAGTTTGGAACCTTTCTTTGTGGTGATGCTGCATATAACAACAAGTGATTCATTAAATATGTCCAAACATACATAGTCTATTGAAAAAATCTTATTGCAAAGATGTTTCTCACATATCAGATATGCAATAATATTTCCAGTTTGTGATCATTGAAATCATTTCCTCTTAAGTGACCAATGTTTTTATCAAAAGTTACCTTTATTTTGATATTATTGTCCTGACAATAATGATTAAATCATTGGTTTAGTTTAAATCAATATAAATATAAAATTGTGATTGAAATATCCTCTGTAAGATATTATAGAATTACAACCTGGAATCCCCTTCCAAATGCTACCATTGCTGTTGGATTATCAGTTGTTATACCAAGATTTTTATGATAACTCTCTCTATAGGTGCTGCTCAAATTAAAAGTCAAAGAATCCAATCCTAAATGTAGATCAATCTCCTAACCCTGCTTGCGTGCCACTTTAAATGATATTGACAGTGTCAGGTGATCACGGCAGTTCTTTATAGACGCGATTTTCATCGAATTTTTTTTTTTTTTTGTACATACAAAACTAGTGATGTAAGCCGGCTGATTATCTTCCTTGTAAAAAAAAAATTTTTTTGGAACTTTTCAAAAGTTAACTTTATCATGATAATCAAACAAAAGGTAAATAAGTCTTTTTGATATCAAAACAGTTGATGATTTTGTCAGCTAGCTTTTCCAATTGCTTAATATTAGGTTACTGCAAAACATGTAAAACAAAATAAAAATCAGAGATGGATTTTTATTTGACATTTTACAAAAGTTTTATTGGAAGAAGGTCCACTTGTTTGGTGGAATCAATAAAAGGTAGTTTTACCGTGCAAGCAAGGATTTACTTGGAAACACCGGCAAGCTCAGTACCATCCGAGAGAGGTTGTTTTTATCAGCTGGAAATGTATTCACAAAGAAAAGAAATAGATTTGATATTCTTTTTTTTGAACGATTCTTATTTAGATTTTTGATAGAATAATAAAAATAAATGATTTTTTGGCTGGTTCAGTTGATGTCACGATATAAAACCTTCCCATTTAAATCTGAATGTATTAATAACCTATTGATCTATGAAATTTTTTGGTCATCGTCCTTGTAGTTTTGTAAAATATTCTTTAAAAGTTGTTCGATCGATTATTTTTCACTTTATTGAATTTATCATTAAAAAAAACTTTTTAATGAAAATGTCACTGTGTGATTATCTCAGTTGATAATAACGATGATAATGAGCTGTTTGGAAAAAGTTGTGATTCCCTCCCTATTACTATAAAAAATATTTTTACGGAATAAATGCTAATATACAGAATACGAAAAATGGAGTTTTTAATATTAATATTAACGAAAAGCTCAGTCCAAAAAATAAATTACATTTTCCCTTTTTTTCCTTCATTTCCATTTTAAACAATCACATGATGATAACGATGAGGCTGTCCGTCGCTGATCCAAATAATTTATAAATAGAATAGGATTTAAATTTTAAATTATGATGCATAACAAAATGGTGTCAATTAAGGGAGAAGTGTAAGAAAAAGAAAGAAAGTGAATAACAATAAGCGAACGGATGAACAAACGAACGAACCAACGATAGAAAGAAGTCAATGAATGAACATAATGGTAATTAAAATAATAATTAATAATCAATTAATATTTAATGCTGCTATTGAGTTATTATATGTTATATAATACTAGCATATATTTAAAAATAACCAATGTTGTTGCATAGATGAACCATGTTATGAGGAAGCATACATACAGCTAATTTAAATAATAAAAAAATTTAATTCAGAATTTCCTAAAAAAAATTTTTTTCAAAATGACCAATTCTCACTTGATCATTATTTAAATTTATTTCATTCATTTTACTCCATTGACTAAATCACTCTGTTATTATTACATTAATTATCCATCCCCATTCATTAGCCACATTCATTCTAAATCTTAACAATCAATCAAATCAAAAAAAAAATTTTTCATATTAATATTTCTTCTCTAGTATTTTTTTCACCCCCGCAAAATAATATTGTGTATAAATAAAATATTATATAGTAAATGCAAATGGATAGGATAGACACATGTACACGCACAATGTTTATTTACAAATAAAACAATAATAAAAAGAACAAGAACCTGATGCATGAAGACGATGACTGTAGATTATTTATTATTAAAGAAATAAAAAAAACGGTTTTATTTGTCCTTTTCTTTCTTGGCTTCTTTATTAATCTATCACAATAACTATCCAAAACAAGATATCAAACGCCATTATCCATGATTTTTACGTTGTCAAATATGCAAAAATATGCGAACAAAAAACAAAATAATAATAAAACCAAAAGCTTTGACTTCCTGTCCCGTAAAGTCGTCATATTGGAGTTTTAGAACATGTGTGTGTAACTTGATTGTTTTGTTTTTGTCCTCTTCATTGTTGGCTTGGACTGATTGGCTTGACTAATTTTTTGTTTATTGCTTATTGCTAAGTTTATTAATTATTTATTTAATTGGACTTTCTTTATCATTGATTTTCATTGTTAGACCTCCGATTATTACAAAAAAAGTGAACAGATAAAAAAAATGATTTGAATAAATGCTAATTAGTAAATTGGTAAATGGATGTGTTAAATTAGGAAACTTGTGGAAATTCAATCAACATTTTCATTTTACATTTGTTTACGCGTCTTTTGATTGTACTTCAAGAGTCAAGTGGTAATAAGGGGTGAAAAACAATAATTATTCAAAAGTTCTTTTCATTTTTCAACAGACAGCAAAAAACAAAATATAACGGAAAAAATAAAAACAAGTTTAAAACTTGTAAAAAAAGGAAAAAAAAATATTTCCATTTTCCATTATTTGATTTTTTTTTTTTTTTTCATGTTTTGGATCAAGTTTCTCGTTTATTATTCAAGAGCAGTACACGATTATCAAATTGCGTAAAAAAAAAATCATCTGGCATGTAACAATTTGCTATCTTCTCTTATCCAACACTTCCTCCTCTTACCCCTGTCCTCTTCCCCTTTATCACCATCATCTAGGTCTTTATCACATCAAATCACATTTTTTTAATTCTTGAACCTTCTGGTCTTAAAACTTCTAATGTTCTATGTGATCCTTCTAAATTGGTATAATTAACCACAACTCTCTCTCTCTCTCACGCGCTTTTTTTTAAAATAAAAAGTAGCAACAATAATCAAATGATCACTATCATTACATCAATTCACCTGATCCATGTTTCGTCATCATCCCACACAAAAAGAAAACCTTAAATCGTCTATTATTATTATTATTATTATTATTATTATTGCTATTATTACTATTACCATTATTATTATTTCAAACATTAAATATCTGTCATAACAATAAAAATTACTATATATGCTTATTGGTATATATCGTATGGTATGTTTGAGATACATCTTAAAAATTTCCCAATATAAATTCATTATTATTTTCTCACCAAAAAAGATTTATATCACACTAGAGAGTAAATAAACAAAAGTAAACCAATAAATGTTACACGTATAAAATATAGAAAAAGTGCTGACCGATCATCTGACATTTCTACATCACGAGTGTGGCAATATTTGATTTTTAATCAACGAAAATCCATAGATGCTTTTTATATACTTATTTGTATCTGTTGTAAATATAAATATTTGTATTATTTTATTCTATGACTCAGTTCTGACCCGTTGTTCTGTTTTACCTTCTAAAATAGTTACAATTTCAACTCGGCGAATCAGCAGTACAAAAACCAACTTTTCATTATTATAGATGCGCCCATTATCATATTAGATAGAGATGGTGAGTGGTTTTGTTTATTAAATTAGTTAATTCTTAATTATTCCTCGTATTGACTCGTCTTTTATTCCCAAGCAAAAAAAAAAAATTAAAGACAAGAACGGAATTTAAATACAAACAAAATTCCGTTTAAAATATTCTTTAACAAGTCCATTATAAATTTATTTATTACATTTATGTATATATGTATTATAATTTATATTTGCCAATTTTCCAATTTTTTATTTTCCTAACCTAAAAAATTGTTATCTAACAATGTATGTATATATATATATATATATATACTTGATAAGAAAACTTATTCCCAAGGTGTTTTTTTCGAATACGTAAAAAAAAAGTAATACAGATACGTAATGTATAGTAAAATAGTAATATTGATAGGTTGATTGCTAACTTTTGAGATTTCAATTGATTTTTATTTTTGTTTTTAATTTTTCTTTTTTTTAAAATTAAAATTAAATTAAAATTAAAATTTTAATTGGACATATTAATTAATTTAATTGGACATATTAATTAATTAATTAATAAATATTATTAATATTAAAATTAAATGTTTACCGAAATTAATTGCCATAAATTAATAATTTTTTGACATCCAAAATAAACAACAGCAAAAGTAAATAATTGTAACCAACCCACTCACTTATTCATTCATTTCATTCATTATCCCAAATTTCGCATTTTTATTTACAACAAATGTCATACGTACATTTTAAAAAGCGTACACGTTTCATACCTTCTTTATTCCATTCTTCTTTGCTAATTTTACAAAATTCAAAATCTTTCTTTCTTATAATTCCGCCCGGATCAAATCGGTCTTTTTTTTCCATACTGTCAAACAAATAAAAATTTATTATTTCTTATTATTATAAAACTCTATGAACACTTTTTTCTATATAATTTCTAATTATTTTGAAAAAATATCCTTTTTTGGATGTTTTTAATAAATATTGTAGTCATTTGATCAAACGATTAATAGTCAAATTGCATACGATATTTATATTTGTTATTTATATTTATTTTCATGATATGTATAGCAAAGTTCCGGTGATTATACATCATCATACATAATATACATCCGCTTGTTTCTATAGACAGTTGTCACGTGGGAACTTAAAAGTTACGTGTAACATAACGTACGTATACATAAAAACTGCCTGTGTAACTTTCAGAGATATCAATAAAAAAACAGCTTTTTTTCAAACAAACATTTTTTCCTTTGCACAATAAATAATAAAATTAGATATAAATAAATTCTTTTATTTAAAAAAATATTTTTTTGCAAAATATTTTTTTTCAAATCAAAAAATTTATCAACTAATTAAATTAATAAATAAATAATAATTAATGAAAAAGTAAAATTTACTGCGTGCATGAAATTTTTAAATTTTAAAGCTTTAAAACGACCAGCTCAATCAATAGAAATAGATATATTAATATATATTCAAACAAAGATATATATTCAGATTAACAAATTAATAAAAATTAGCACAGTTAGCGCGGAACATATTTAGTCATTCATCACTACCATTTTTAATTGGAGCATAAAGAAGAGATGAAAGATTTATTCCTCTCACTAATTAATTCCTCATTTACCCCTAATGGTGGTAATAATTTTTCAGCCTTTACAAAAAAGTTACTATTTTCCAATTCCCATTTACATATTCGTTTCTTAAATGAAGTTTGTACAACACAAATAGTATATATATAAATTTGAGAATCCCAGAACTTTATTATTACACTAACTAATAATAATTAATACCTAATACTTAATTTTTGCAAGAAAAAAAATTAAAAGGTTTGTAAAAAAAATGTTTATCTCGACAATTAACATTTTCCTGTTCCAATCGTTCTCAATCTCATTATTAATTGTTAATTATTAATAATAATTAATTCTCTCACTATTACTATGATATCGTCACATTATCACTCTCGTTATCCACATCCTTTCATGCATTCCATAGTTTTTACTTTTGTTTTTTTTTTGAATGCGTTAAAATCAATCAATAAACTGGGAATAGCGCAATTATTTACGCAACAAACAATCTAGTAACAACAAAATATTTATAGTAAGTAATTAAACCATTGTTCACATTTTATTCATAATAAAATATTGTCACGTGATGCTTACTTAATAAATATGTAGAGAAATAATAATGGGATTCAAGTCATCATCAAACAATAATTGTAAACACATTGTTGATGGCATTAAAGATGACAGGGATAGATTGTTAAGGGAAAAAGAAAAAGAAAAGGATAATGATTTTAAACATATTATTGATATTATTTATAAATCCAAACCATTATCATTATCATCATCATCATCATCATCATCATCATCATCATCATCATCATCATCATCATCATCATCGTCATCGTCATCGTCATCGTCATCGTCATTATCGTTATCATCGCCATTATCATCACCAACATCGTCAACATCACCAACATCACCATTAAACGACGAAGAAAAGTCAAGTGGTAATCCGCAAATCGACAAATTCATAAAGGATACACAAGATCGTAATGAAAAAGACAAGACAAAATTGCAAATTGACTGGATCCCTTTTAAAGAATTTAAGAATATCAAGGAATTAAAAAAAGGCGGTGAAGGTGTAATTTATACTGCAGAGTGGATAAAAGGTCCAGGTCCTACAAAAACAGTTGCTTTAAAATGTCTTCATAACTCACAAAATAATATATCTAAATTACTTGATGAGGTAAATTACTTAAAAAAAAAATATATATATAATTATCTTTGACTCCTTCCTAATGCTAATATATATATATATATATATACACATTCGCACAGATTGAGCTTCAAGTAAAGCTTTATTACACAAATACACCACTATGTTACGGAATCAGTAAAGATGCTGCAAATAATTATCTGATAGTGATGCAATACGCAACCGATGGCAATCTACATGATTATCTTCAAGATAACTTTGGTGAATTAGATTGGGAAAAAAAATTACGCATTATTTATGACGTGTCGGAAGCTTTAAGAGAAATTCATAAAGCCAATTTTGTACATGGCGATTTTCATGATGGAAATATTTTAAAGTATCTTGATCGTTTTTATATTTCGGACTTGGGACTTTGTAAACGCAATGATATCAAAAATGATAATGGCAATGATATTCGTAATAAATGTATACTTGGAGTATTGCCATATATGGCACCTGAAGTATTGAATCAATCGCCCTACACTAAAGCAGCCGATATTTATGGATTTGGAATGATAATGTGGCAAGTTTGTACTGGTAAACGACCATTCCATGATCAAAAGAATGAGGCTACCATAGATATTATAACCGAAATAATGAAGGGCGGGAGGCCATATATACCAACATCATCATCATCAAAAGAAAAGTATAATATACCAAAAGTAATTGCTGATTGTATAAAAAAATGTTGGGATGAAGATAAGGACAAACGACCTGATATCGTAACACTTAATAATTTCTTTAAAGATTTATTGATTATTAATAAAGATTATAAAAAATGGAAACCGTATCGGGAGAAAGATGATGGAGATGACGATGATGTCGAAAGTTGTTGTAATAGCTGTCGTGAAATTAATATCACTGATTATGTCACTACTCAATGGGATTTAACAATTCCTGAAAGAGTGCCTTAGAAGAACTAGTTTTTTATTTAAATCTAATACTGTGTGAATAAAATTTTAACTTTGTAAAATTACATATTAATAATAAATTTAGGAATATTTTTAATAATTAATTTAAAAATAACCTCATCTATTTTTCATTGTAAATTCAATGCAATTGCTTATTCCACTCACTCAACTCACAAATCATCGCTCTCTTGCCAATCCTTGTTCGTTGTCTTACTCTTTAAGTTTCTCATTGACTGTCAATAATTGTTGTAGATTTTGGCAGGCGTGCGTTAGTTGAAAATAGCAAGTAAGTATACACTTGTACTAGCGTTTATATTTATCTATTAATAGTTATTATCACTCACTACATAATAATATATTTAATATATTACAAATGCCAGTAGTCGTTCTAAATACTTGTGAGACGATCATGATCATTTAAAAAATATCATGCGGATTGTTTGTGCTAACCAAATTTCGAAATTATTATTATAGGTGGATTTTTGTCAAATAATTACCAAGTTTGGTTAGTATGATCAATTCCGCGCACTGAAATTTGTACTCGCGTGAGGAATTTGTGTAGCTTTAAACATTCTTTCTTATCTTTTAAAAAAAAATTTTTCCTTTAAATTAATTTAAAAGTAAATAGATATGGCACCTGTTGATATAGCCGGCCCAATAGCAAAAGATGGTACCTTACAGAAGAAACCAATTAGTTTTGTGAATCTTGCTGTTGGTGCTGGTAATTATTTGGAATTTCTGTAATTTGCTCACATACCTTTTCTTATTATAGCCAAAAAATAAAATGAATGATGGTTGGTTTACCAGAGGTTTTTGGGAACCATATAGCCACAATACTACTTATAATGGTAGAATTTATCATAATTGGCATTATATTCAATTGAAAAATAAATAAAATAAAATAAAAATAAAAATTTTATAATAATATTATTATTAATTTATAATTTATGAAAATTTAGGTTTGAATATGTTCGAAGTGTCTACCCTTGGGCAACCATTTGAAGTTACTAAAACACATTTGGCTGCTAACCGTAATGATGGTATTTTTACTGCATTGAAGAAAACTTATAAAAGAGGTGGGATTTTAGGGTTTTATCAAGGGTTAATACCTTGGGCATGGATTGAAGCCAGCACGAAGGTAATTGATTGATTGATTGATCAATTGATTGGTTGGTTGTTCAAATGATTCATTAATTGATTTCATTATTTTTATCAACTTCATAATTTCATTAATTTATTAATTTATTTATTATTTAATTATCAAAGGGTGCAGCACTTATATTTACTGCAAGTGAAGTTGAATACAGTACACGAGTAGCTGGTGCACCTCCATTTTTGGTATTTTAAATATATATATACTTCCTGATCAACAAACAATATTTTAAATATCATAGTAATGTAAATTTTGTTTAATTTTTAATAAAGGCTGGTATTTTGGGTGGTATGGCTGGAGGTTTAGCACAAGCATATACCACAATGGGGTTTTGTACATTTATGAAAACTGTTGAGGTCACTCGACACAAAGCACCTGCTGATCAACCAGTCTCTACATTAAAAGTCGCAGCTGATATTTGGAAAAAGGAGGGTATTCGTGGTATAAATAAAGGTGTTAATGCTGTAGCTCTAAGACAATGCACAAATTGGGCTAGTAGATTTGGATTAACAAGATTAAGTGAAACTGCCATTAGGAGATTACGAGATGGTGAGGTTGTTGATCATTCTAGACCATTGTCACCCATTCAAAAAATTTTAGCAAGTGCCCTTGGTGGTGGTTTGTCCTGTTGGAATCAAGTAATTATATATTATTTTAAAAAATCTCAAACTCTAAAAAAAACAAATTTCCCTTTCTCACATTTCCTTCTCTTCTTTTCCTTATCAAAGCCAATTGAAGTTATTCGTGTGGAAATGCAATCTCAAGTACAAACACCAGGACGTCCCAAAAATATGACAATTGTAACATGTGCTAAATACATTTATCAAAATAATGGATTGAAAGGGTTTTATCGTGGTGTAACTCCTAGAATTGGACTTGGAATTTGGCAAACAATCTGTATGGTATTTGGTGGTGATTATGTCAAGGTAATTTTTAAAATACTTTATGACAATTATCACCATTATCATCATAATTGATAATAATTTTTTCTTTTTATTCATTTATTATTTAGGCTATGATTGCTAATAGACAATTAACTCAAAAAATTTAGAATATAATTTATATATATATTTTCTCTTGCTAATTAATTTGAATAAAATTGTTTTATTAATAATTTATTTGTTTTGCTAATTGAAATCTGTACGAGTATGACATTGATGATGAATGACGTTGAACAGCAAGCATACAAATCCAGGACGCGTTAGTTTAGGACGTGTTAAAATTGTTATTTTCATTTTTAACTGGCTATTAAACAATTTCTTTCCCTTCCCTTTAATGATATTAATTATAATAAACAATAAATAATATTTAATATTTAATAATGTCTAATAATAAAGAGCAAGAAATTCAAGAAAAGTTTGTTGAAGAATATAATTGCGGCTATACAGCCATTGAAAAATTAGAGGTAAAAGGCTAAAAAGGATTTATTATTCGCTCTTAAGAACTAAGTAATAATTTAAATATGTAAATATGTATAAAATAAAAAACCAATTAAGAATAAATATTACTGATATCAAAAAACTCAAAGATCATGGTTTCCACACGCTTGAGTCAGTTTCATACACACCTAGAAAAGCATTAAAGGAATTTCTGAAGCAAAAGTCAAAAAAATACTGAGGGTATTATTATTATAATTCAAAATTTCATATAATTCATACAGTATATGCATTTTTATATTTATAAAATACGACTGGATGGATAGTTGGTAAAATAATAATTTAGGATCTCGATCAGCAACAGAAATCCAAAAAAAAGACACGAACTTGTTTATATCACAACAGGATCTGGTCAACTTAATAATATTTTAGGAAGTAATGAAAGATTTCTAATGGCCTATAATCACCGAATTCAAAATATATACAATTAAATTTGTAATTCGTAATTCTTTGATTTTAAACCAGGTGGAATTGAAACGGGCTCAACAACTAAAATTATTTGGTGAATTTCGTACTGGAAAAAGTCAATTATACGCTTGTTATGTTGGTAAATGATTTATCTAATTGATATTTAATTGATGTTATGTGGTATTTTTAACTTCCTGCAAGTATGGGTGTGCTGAAGGAACATTAGACAATGCGGAAATAGCAAGAGCTTATAGCATCGATAACATCAATTCTTAATAAATTGATTGATTGATTGATTTTCCTGACAATAGATTTGCTGTATTAATTGTTGATAGTGTAACAGCATTGTATAGAACGGAAGAGGTGAATTGGCTGCACGTCAAATGCATTTAGCAAAATTCTTACTATCTCTTCAACGTTTGGCTGATGAAGTATATATATGTGTGCTTTGTGATTATTATATAATTAATTAACTAGTTAGTTAATTAATTATCCATTATTTATATAGTTATTGTTGTGACAAATCAAGTTGATGGTAATATGACTATGTTTGATGGCCAGACTAAGAAACCAGTAGGAGGAAATATCACTTCAACTACAAGGTAATTATCAATAAGCACATATATATTGTGACTTTTGTTGAACTTCTTTTTTTGTAGACTTTATTTTGTAAAGCTTCTAAAAGAAACTCGTGTATGTAAAATACATGATTAGCTATGTCTACCGGAAGCTGAAGCAACATTTGCTATCGGTAAAGATGAAATTGAGGATGCTAAAGATTAAGATAAAGATTCTCTTTTTAAAAAATCTTATGGATTTAATTTGTCTTCAAACTTTAGGAACTTCCTAAATTTTATTTAAAAAAATTGAATCTGACGTTCGTATATTAATAATAATAAGGATACGGTCTCAGCCCTGTAGTAGTAGTTGCAACGAAACACGAAATACAGCTGGCCAATCAAATTTATTGTTTTGAATTTCTATTTTCTAAAACAATGGCCGCGTAAAACAATCCTTGTTGATTGTACACTAGTGTAGATCTATTTTTTTTTTTGGGGGAAAATTAATTAATGCAATGTTGTATACATATCTTTTATTAATATAAACTAAAATAAAAAAAATTCATACTCCCAATTAATATGTTTAAAGAAGCAATGATTTAATAAATTTTCTTTTAAATAATAACAATTCTCATTAATATCAACTGTTATATAGTATTTTTAAATATATGTAATAATAATGAGAGTTAATAGCACTAAAGCAAATATATGATGATTATGTTAATAAAATGCTTCAAAGAGTGTAAATCAATTTAGTTGTATCTTGAATTTACTCTCCACTCTCTTGCATTTATCCCATAATGTGAATGTGGCATTATTTCACCTACTAAAGCAATATTTAAATTTCTAAATTATTAACCTGTATTTTGCTATTAAAATGTGATCAATCAGGTCACTCACAATCCATTATCAAAAATACACATAGTATATACAGTATAAAACTTTTTAAGGATTTGTGCAACTTTGCTCAAAACATATTATTTATTAGTTAATAGAGATCAAACTTTTGATAAAACTGTACACCTTAACTATTGTTGGATTTATTTTTATTTTTTACCATTGATAGAATTTCACCAACAAAATACTCTAGTTGATAATACTACTATCAATATATTATTATTTAATATACATTAATTAATTCTTTTCCAAAAAAAAAAAAGGATCTATGGTAAAGGATGTCATCATCATCATCATCATTATTATTATCATTATTAAATTTCTTTCTTTGTATATTATTAAATAAACATTTATTGAAAAGTAGAAATTTCAAAAAAATGTTTCTCTTTAAATAAGATATCTAGAATAATTGCTTTTCCCTATTCAAATATTGTGTTTTTCTACCCACAATCCCAAGCAATTTTAAAGTTACACTTGGCTACCAAAAGTTGAGGATATACTTTTCCTATATTCACTTAACAATAAAATACTTTAATAAATCCAATAGCTCTTTGATAGCTTGTTTTGATGTTCCAACTTTAGTATAATGTTGGATAAATTCTACTTTTAAAAGATATTTCACCATTTTCATTAATTCTGTATGCATAACTTGAGCTGAATAATGATCGATCCTACTAACATTACATGCAAGAAATCCTTGTAAGCTGGTAAGAAAATTTTGTTCAATATCCCTTATTCTGATTTTTGATTTTTTCAACAATATAATTTTATTAAAGACTTGGTAGGATTATAAGCATCAGGAAACTTTTCCTGCCATAAATTTACATAATATTATGGGGCCCGCCATAAACTTATGTAAATAGTGTAATATTATGCAAAAATTGCACAAAAATTATGCAATTATTACATTCAGTGTAAATATTACATCCTTTTTATGCGAAATATTACGTCATTTCATATTAAAACTTACAGATGTAAACTTGCATCAGAAAAAATTTCCTGATGCTCAATATTAATATTAGTTTCAGGTTTATTAAATTCTGAATAATTTTTTACATTAAAAAATCTTTACAACTAAAATAAATTTATTAAATAATTACCTATAACAATTTTAGATGAATGGATGTGCATTTAAAATACCACATAATAAATCCATATTATTTTTATCATCCAAAACCTATACTAAAATAAAATAATTATTTACATGTTGTTATATATACCTATTATATAACAATTTTTAAGGAGTTCTATATTAGGAAAGTTTTTGTATTAGAGAAGTTATGATCAATATTTAATATCTCATGATATTTCATTGATCAGTGGATCATGAGTGAGAGATTTGCAACATCAAATTAGAGTTATGATCAATTTCAGGAAGTCAGTCACTCTCAAGCCAACCACACAAACTCTAACCAACATGCTTTTTCTTTTTTTTCTATTAGATCATCCAATCCTTTCTACAAATCTCACTTGTCTTGTGTTATATATGTACATATGTAATATGTGAAATTGTTACAAAGCAAGTATGCAATATTATTCACTAGGGAGTGGCTATATATAATGAAAGATAATTTAGAAAGTATAACCTATAAATATACATGTTATCATTTTTGATTCAGGTATAATCTCACAATATCTCAACAAACATATTAATAACAAGTTTATCTAAGATAAAATTCTTGTTTTTTTATTATTATAAACATTTTTATGTTTATATATATAATTCTATAATAAAAGTGATGGTAACTTTGATCACAAAGAAGATTTAATTTAAAGCATATGATTAATTGTTAAAAAATTTTTCAATAATAATAAAAGATGTTTAGTTCACCATGTAATGCTTCCTAAGGGATTAGATGAAAATTTCAATAATCAGATCAGATCAATAAAATTTATTCACAAATCTAATTCAATTTGTTTAGAATCTGAAATAGTTAATTTATAGTTTAATTTAAAATATCATTAATTAAGATTAAAATATAATAATAAATTAAATTATTACCATTATTGTTACTAATAATTGTAATTTTATTGGAATTTACAGGTTGAGGAAGATTTGTAAAATTCAATAGTCTACTTGTATAAACAGCATTTGGATGAACAGTTGCTGTAATTGTTGAAGGATTGAAAGGTTTTTGATCTGCTTCCTCAAATATTTTTCTTATTTCTTTTAATTTATAATAATTAAGTTTGTGTTTTAGGATTTCATTGATACCAATTGTGCCAACTGCATCTTTCCAAAAAGTAATAATTTTTAAAATTTCATCTGCTGTTGGTCTTTTTTCAGGATCAGCATCCATGCATTTGTATGCTAACTTAATATAACATTCTGGAGTATTATCTGAAAAACTAGGCCTTAAGCCACCACAAATCTTCAGTGCAAGATCTAGATCATGTGGTTGATCTTTGAATGGCTGTTGATGTGTTGATGTTTCTGACATTAAAATCCCAAAGCTGTAAATGTCTGATTTTTGTGTGTAAGGTTTCTTATTTAATACCTCTGGTGCAACATATGGTAGTACTCCAAATATATCATTTTTACTTTCAATTGATGTTTCTTGATCAGCTGAGCCTGATAACCCTAAATCTGTAATCATTGCCTGGGATAAATAATTAAAATATAAAATATTACCACTGTGAAGATCACCATGTGTAAGTTTTTCTTGGTGAAATGTGTTTAAACTTGAAATGATGTCATAAAGTATTGTGATTCTGTCATTCCAATTTCTACAATTTGATTTTAAATATTCCCTGTAATCTCCTTGGTCTGCATATCTCATTATGAGTACATATTCTTTTGTATTTGGATCTTGTGAAATACCATAAATATTAACTATACCCATTTGATGAGGTCCTATAAATTTAATGTGATTTTGAAGCTTTATGAAAATTAATAAAAAATTAATATATTATTTAAAAATCATTAATTGTCAAATTATATCAAATTATTTACCTCTTTTAAAAACTCTTCAGAAATGTCTTGAGAATTTTTAACCTTTTTTAATGCTACATGACCACCTTTGCAATAATATCTTGTATTTTTGTAAACATATCTAGGACCATTTGACCAATTACACTTATGCACAGTTGCAAAACCACCTTCACCTATTGCTTCTTTAACTGTGAGTTGGTCATAAGGAATCCACTCAAGGTAATGATAACTATCAAATCCTTTTGCTTCAAGCTGTGTATTTCTGATTATTTCATCTAATTTTTTATTACCACTGCTAGTCCAACTTTGAGCTAACAATTTGGGATCACATGATTGACACCACTGGTAATTAGTATTATATCTTCTACAAACAGAACAGATTCCCTTCCATTTTATAAACCCCTTGGTGTTATCTTATTATTTCATAAAAACAAAATAAATTTATTTTTCAACTTAATTAAAAGTTATAAAAAAATTAAATTTATAAATTATTTTACCTTCAGTCATAATTATTATAATACACAAAAAATAAATTTATATATTTAGACAAGGTTTTGATAAAATTATAAAAGTTATTTTATATATAATATAACATAACATTTACCAGCTGTTATTATGAAGAAATAAGAAATATTTAATTAGATGATGCTATGAAAATTTGTTTTATGCTGTAAAAATTACTTACATGCTGGTTATCATAAAGAAAAATAAATTTATTAATTAGTTGATGTTTTAATAAAAATTATTTGTAAAAGTTTATGATATGATACTTACTTCCTGATTATTATAAAAATTTATTATTAGACAATGTTTTAATAAAATTTATTTTGTGTTAATTTATAATATATTACTTACCAACTGGTTATTATAATAAAAAAATAAACTTATTGATTAGATATAAAAATTATAAAAGTTGATTTATAATACAATAAAATGCTTACCAGCTGGTTATTGCAAAAAAATAAAAATGAATTTATTTAGTTGATGTTTTAATAAAATTTATTTTATGTTATGTATAAAAGCATAATACTTACAATCTGGTTATAAAAAAAGTAAAAATTGTATTTATTTAATTAGACAATGTTTTAATAAAATTTAGTTTGTAAAAAGTTGCTTTATAATATTATAATATAATGCTTACATGCTGGTTATTATAAAGAAATAAAAAATAAATTTATTTAATTAGATGATGTTGAAGATAAAGTTTATTTTGTGTTGTA